GTAGGGTTGGTTGATGGCATGTCTCACATTAAACATCCATGTCCCACCATAGGCAGATTAGATTTGATATTACGGTCGCCGGGAGCCCTAATCCACGGATTGGAATTAACTCGAAACGCTCCTAATGGATGGAATTGGATCCATTCCTACTTCTGTGAAAACGGTGATAAATATCGAACTGGCCAGCGAGGCGCTGACGGTGGCTATTACTAGTGCCTACCATGGGAGCTGCCGCGGTAAGCCGGGGCGCAGCAATAGAAAGTGCCCGTGGTGGAATTAGGGGCTTTCAAGGCTTAGATTAAGGACCAGAAATTTATCCAATAAGTCCAAGGCGTCGAGTTCGTGGAAGGAGTATAAAGACGCACTCACGAAGTATAATAAAGAAATTAGGAAAGCGAGGGCATCTTCGTCCAGGAGGATTGTAGTGGATAATCTAATCGCCGCCCTCGAGGGCTCCGGTGCACGTGTCGGGTCACGCCGAGGATGTGGCTTTCGTCGTACGGGGAAAATTTGAGAGCATTATTTCTGACCTTCTACAGCAAAATTTACGTGTTGTGGAAGGGTGGTGCAGATGTGTGGGTTAAATATAAATCCCAATAAGAGCACTTTGGTTACCTTCACCAGACCCAGAAGCAAGGATAGATTAACGAGCCCAATTCCGTTTGGAGAACGTATTAGTTACTCTAGGAAGGTGAAGTATCTGGAGTACCCATATAGATAGAGTTGTCGGGACGACTACGGCGACTTTCTGCACGTGTAGAAGCTTCATCGGTGGAATCTGCGGGATCAGTCCCAGGATAGCACTGCGGCTATATGCGATCCTTGCTACGCCCATCGTCACCTACACGTTGATTGTATGGTGCCGTAGGGCTCAGCAAGCAGGTGTGCGGGCCAAGCTGGAAATGAGGCAGAGGTTGGCCTGCCTGGGAGTGACCGGGACAATTCGAACGGCTCCTACCGCTGCGTTTGAAGTGATAATTGGGGTGCCCCTACTGCACCTCCATATAGTGAAAGAAGCTCGGCTGGTGACTTACCAACATCTATCTGGCGAGGACAAGGCGGGGCGAAAGTTGGTCCACAGGACTCACAGAGACTTCATTGAGTGGGATTCGATTCTAAGAATAACCATGTCGGATCCCTGTCAGGTTCGAGCGTGTGTTATGCAGACGGGTCCAAAACGGAGTCAGGTGTGGGTTCGGGTGTATACGGTGTCCGCACGGACACGCGTATATATGCGACCCTTGACCCTTATTGCACCGTGTTCCAAGTCGAAATATATGCAATAGAGATCTGTCTGAGAATCAATTTAGAAAGGGGGTATAAAAACCGTACCATCTATGCGTTCTCGGACAGCAGGACTGCATTGTTGGCGTTTCATTCGGCTCAATTGGGTACCGGGCAACAGTGGCCATGCGGGCAACGAGGCTGCCGATGGGCTGGCGCGGACTAGATCTGGGGTTGACTTTGTGCAGCCGCTGCCTTTCTGTGGTCTACCTTCTCCCGTTTGCCTGCCTACTCGCGGTGGAATGCGGTCTTCACTGGCGGGGCACGATAGAGTAAAGGGTGAACAAGAGCCGGGTTCGCAATATTGCGAATTTCTTTACGGGACACTGCCCCCTGTGCAGATTTTGTGCGGGCGATGACGAATTATAGTAAGGACGGGAATATTATAGGGAAGTCAGGGAGGGCTGCGGTGGCTCGGGGGTTACTCCTGTCCCACTCAGTTCCCTTGAAATCTACAATCTATATATATTAAACATAAATATCTGTAGGGGTTTAACGTTATATGAAACATTAAATTGGTGTATAATAATGTGAATAAGTTTAGTAACTTTGGAAAATATAATTTGCTTTTTATTTCATTGCATATACTTTCTTGAACTTCAATATATCTATGACTTGAAATTTCTGAAAATATATATATTTCGCCTTTTTGTGGTATTTCCGTAAAAATTTCTGCTGGAAACTGTTTGTTTGAAGCCCCTATCCTTTTCGGAACGGAAGTTATAATCAAAAAGCTTAGATAACTAGAAATTTCGTGAGAATTCGTCTAAACCCCTGTATCTCGAAAACAAAAGTTTAACCCATTTTCGACCCTCTAACCAATGGTATATATTGTTGTATACCTTTCTGAATCACCCCGTATATAATTTTGCTAAAAATTTTCTTTTTCTACAATTTTGTTATTTGTTAGGGCTAATTGAGTTCTATTTTTTTTTTACAATTTCTTGTTTAATTAGTGTTTTAATAATTCTTTTTCTTTTCAATACACTGTTGCCATTGCAGTACTTTTACTTTCAATACGGAATGCATATGTATGTCAGATTCACTGCTATTTTCTACTGATTAAAAGTTTTTACTAGATTCTATCCTGCTTAGAAAAACCGCGATCTTATTTTCTTTCTTTTAGGTATTCACTATCAAACTCATATTCATCCGATTTTAGTTGCCATCTTTCATGTCTAGGAGATAAGTTTTTCCTTTATATTTTGAATGCAAAAACTTTGCAGAATGAGGAACTGACTAACGTACGACTGAGATGCTGCGGAGAACACTTTGTGACCCCGGTGGAAGTCTCACGGTTTGAACTGAAGATTAAATTGCGATTTATCAAAAGTCTAAAAATAGCACTAATATAGGTGGGAATCGAAGTAACAAAAATCAATGTGAGAAGAAAAAAAAGTTTTAAATTTTTACATTTTCGTTAGATTTAACTAAAAATTCATCAAGGTTGATGTCACGAAAACGGTAAGACAAGTGCCGAGTTAATTAATATTACCACACAAAATTAATTTATATTGCTATTAAATCATCTAGTCATACTTAGATTATATTTTCTAGATTAGCAAAAGTATTCCAGAAAATTATGAAAATGCGTTTTAAACACTTCTTTAAAATTTTAAGGGCAATTATAAGCTTTTAGTTAACATACCTGAAAAAAAATGTGAATTTGGCTCTTAGTAAAGTTTCATTAGTGCTATCCAAATTATATGAAAAGTTCCTCAATAACTTCTGGTAACAACAAGAGCTCAAAGATCAAATTTCTAGAAACTCCATCAATTCGAGCAAAAAATTTAAAATCGGCCCCCACATCAGTTTCCGAGCCCTGATCTTTCAAAAAAAAATTTATAGATTCATTGTTTTAACATATCGAATTTAAATTAAATTTCAATGAAATCGGTTGATTATTTTTCATATACGCAAAAATGCATATTTGGCCCGTGGTAAACGTTCAGTTGCTGACACCTGATTTTTTCCGAAAATTGGGAGGTTTAGTGTACGCTCGAATGAAGCTTATATATGAAATATCAACCAAATCGGTTAAATATTTTCTTCAAAATTATCAAAAATGTAAAACAGGCCCGCAAAAAAGTCCAGTTCCCAAGGGCTGTGGAATAGCCAAAACAATCTCACATATAAAATTTCATAAAAATCAATTGAGCCGAACTTGAGATACACGCGTGCATACACAGACAGACGATCGACAGGTTGCTAAAAATAGTTTATTTACACTTCCCTACTATGAGGAAATGATAATAACCTACCTTATTGTATACACAATGCGGTCGGAAAAAAAAAAGAAAAAAATGGTGCACTCAACTCCTTAAACAAGTATTTTTGATAATTCAGTTTAGTACTTAATATGCAGTAAATTTCATAATCGTTAAGGGGATTCCGTTTGTAACACTAGGAAATAATGCTCTGAGATATAGACTCAAGTGTACGTTTTTGATCAGCGTCGAATTCTAAGTTAATTTGGCTTTGTCTGTCCATCCGTTTGTCCGTTTGTCCGTCCCAACGATAACTCAAAAATTAATTGACCTACGTTCACCAAATTTTCAGAAATGATTTATTGTAGGTTCGGGTATCTGCCATGCAGCTTCAAAATTTATTTGACAATATCTAAGAATATTTTTGTAGAGTCAATGTGTTTAGTAAAAGTCATTGAAATTGCTTGTTTCCTTCCGGTAGCTGCCCTACAACTTCAAAAGTTATTTAGCAATATCTCAGAAAATGTAAAAGCTGTGGTATTGGAATCTTGGTACAAGCGAATATGTTAGGAGAGCCGATGTGTTTGATAAATTTCGTTAAAATTGCTTGGCTCTTTCTGGTAGCAGCCTTACAACTTCAATAGAAGTTTGGCGATACTTAGAAAATATTAAAAACACAGTACTGAAATTTTGCATAAATTAATATGGTAATACGGCAACTTAAAGTCATAGTCTATCCCATAGTTAACTAGGGCATATTTATTCACACATACGATAACAAATTCGTACGGGTATCACAGAGCTGACACGGTGAACTATATGTTTTCTCGTTTTAATCTATAACTGCAAACTAAAATTTTAAAAAATTTTCTATTAAAAACAATTTGCATTTTTTTTAAGGGTTACGTTTATCTTTAATTTTTTTAAGTAGCAAAATTTTGACTACAAGTATCAACATTGAAGTTTTTGCAGTTACTTTTTTCTGTTGATTAAGTTTTAAGTTAGCAACGCAAACGCAACTGTATTTGCAAAAATATCCGTTAATTTTAGTTAATTTTTAAGAACGTTTATTTATTAGCCGCCAATCCATACTTAGTAAAAATAAAAGCTCCATGAATTTTCCAAAAATGTTTCAAATAACGTTTCAGAAAACATTAATCTTCATTTAAACTTAATAAAATTTTATATCCGTAAAAGAAATGTTTTAGACCACGTCTGACAGAAATACAATTCATTACAAAAACTCAAGGCCTGGACCCTGCTTTTTTTGTGAATGTTTTTATAAAATTGCACATGTATTTCTCGCGAAATAAAATTTCTGAGGAAACATTTTTTCTTGTTGTTTTTTTTGGAAAAATTATGATTTTTGTCTATTTTCATTTCGAGTTTTCTATACGAAAAATTGACAACCTAACAATTTTTATACTGATAAATGAACTTTGGAGTTTTTTCTGTCAGACGTGCTTATTACAGAACCAATACATAACTAAATTTGAAAACCAAAATAAGTACATTATATAATTCAATGTTTTTTTAGATACATACATACATACATGATTTTGACAATAGAGGCGACATAACGTCTGATAAATTTCTTATTCTGACCGACATGTACATATTTAAATTACTTTGTAACTGCAATCGATTCACAAATTTGTAATTTTGAATATTAATTTTATTTTAAAAACATATGTAATGATATACGCATGAAAATTTAATGTTTAGATTTTTTATGTTTATGACGATCACTGTCCCGGCTATCATCTCTTAAACGTTTTTTGTCATTATGATGACTACTGCTCGTGCGGTGTTTGTCCCTACTATTCTCTTTGTGATGGGATGTGGAAGTACGATGTCTGTCCTTGTCTTTATTTCTGATGTCATCTCGCCTATTTGGTTTTTGTGGACTGCAAATTATAATAATATTTTTCAAATTATAACAACATTCATCTAATTTATTAAGATTTTTTCGAAACTATTAAAAAAGACTTAAAAAAGAATTTGTGCTGTATAAGTATATTTATCAATATACAACTTACAAAATTGAAACTTTAGAAACTATACAGCAATATTTGAGTCAGAAATTTACGGATTCCTAGACGAATCGATTTAACTTTATCATAAACATGCATATTACCAGATAGATACAACAGAATGCAGCGATAGTTTTTTTGATAATTTCATGAGACAAAATGAATAGTTGCGAAGTAATTCAATTTTCATTAGTAAACTACTTAAAAAAACTTATTTTTCACAAAGCTTTTATTAAAATTTCTTTCACTCCCTACTCACAGAAACAGACAGAATTTGATGCAATAATTTTTCAGTCAACGTCTTTTACGTAATTCCTAACAAATTTACGTATGATAACGAATATTTATTTTATTCAATTGCTAATAAATTCAAAAACTTTTGCGCAAGCATAAATTTTGTCTACTCTTCAATAATTTTTGCATAGATTTCAACCCGTAATAGGAACATAGTTTTAAACCGCATTAACAATTTAATCTTAGAAATTTATTGATTCCAATCTTAGGTTTGGATATTTTCTTTAGGTTTAGATTCTTTAAGATTTTGGTTTAGATATTGGTCAAATACATTTCAAGTAAATAAAACATCATACATACATCCATAATTTTGTATTATTTTTAGGCAAAAATTATTCTTTTTGGAAACTGAAATGATGTAAGTATTTATAACCATAAATTTACAATTATATATTTTTTATTTTGTAGTTCGCAAATTTTTTATACAAGAAATGTAAGAAATTATTATTATTGTCACAATAATTACTATCATCATAAAATTTTTCTTTTTTACACAAATTGCCATTTTTTAAATTTCACTCGAGGAAAAAATATTTGGCACTGCGTTTTTGTAGAGCACATATTATGCAATAATAAATTTTTTACACATAAATTTTTCACACATTGTCGCCGTACAAAGTTTTGCTCAATATACCGATGCACCTTTTCAGCAAGAAATTTCTATTTTCTAGGTGATAAATCGTCTAAGAAACATTGCGGGCAAGTTTTATTTTCAATTTTTATCTTTATATCGTTATCAAAAACAAAAATAAAATTTAGATTCGATTTAATTCAAATTTTTATCCAATTATAAAGAAAAAAAATAAAAACAATTTCATATTTTTCTTTTTTAATAATTGAAGAAAATAATTCGATAAGCAAAATCCCCTTTTTTTTTTTTGTCAATACAGAAACTATAGGATATTATCAACAAGGAGAAAAAAAATTATCAAATTCAATATTTTTTTCCAAACCGAATAATTATAATGCCATATAAATCTATCAGGCCATCAAACTCAGAGAGCAAATCAAAAATAAATTCCAAATTTATATGGAGTTTAAATGGAAGGTGTTTCAGAATTTATTGGTAAATTCCATCTGAAAAATGGATTTGAAAAAAAAAAATTTAATTTTTAGCGCAGACAACCTTTTTTGTCTTCCAAATGAAAGGGTACTGAATTACAGAGTAAAATTTTTGAATAAAAAATAGAATTTAAAAAAATCTAGATTGCTTTTGAAATTATACTAAATATAATGAGATTCATAAAGAATACTCAAAAATTTCACAAAAAAAAATATTTCAATCGGCATACTTATTGACAGTAGTGGATTTCTTAGACATTAAGAATTGTTGTTGTATTTTTTTCCGATTGAAAATTTCGAAAAATATTTTCAGATTGGAGGCTTTATAGATATATATGGCATTAAATAATTAGTTAGAAAAATCTTTGTTGAAATTTATACATAACTTTTTAAATAAAATTAAAGAATAAAAATCTTACTCGAAAATTGAGTCGAAAATTTTATTACATTTTCAATAAATTTGAAAAATATTTTCCAAATATGTATTCATGTATGAGTTTCTAAATTCTAGAAACAAATTAATTGTTATAAAAAATTATGACTTTCTTTGTTTTCTAAATTCTCAAATAAACATTTAATTTATATAGCTAATATTTTGTTAATTTATATAGTATTTTGTAAATTTATATAAAAATTTTGTTAATTTACATAGTATATTGTAAATTTATACAGTTTAAATTTAATTTATATAGTTAATACATATATATATGTAATTTATATAGTTAATATATATATATATGTAATTTATATAGTTAATATATATATATATGAAATTTACATAGATTCACATAATCATGAAGAATACGGTAAGGACGAAAAATTTATCAATTTCATCCAATACAACCAATAATCAATAAAAATTTATAAAAATTAATAATAAATAATTAATAATCATAAACAATTAGTATATAACAAACATCAAGAAATAATGAATAAAAAATAAAAAGTGATAAATAAAACCATTAACTATAAAATAAATAATAAAACTATGGAATAAAAAAATCTGATGTGCTCAGCACATAACCGACCGCATTGTGTAGTCTCGTTAAATGAAAGTGTTACAGAATATATAAAAATGTGTGTTAAATACTTCTTTCCAATTTTTAGGACATTAGTAAGCTTATAGTTAACATACTTAGAAAAATGTAAATTTGGCTCTTAGTAGAGTTACGCTTTGTGCTACCCGAATTCCCTGAAATGCTCGCCAGTTAGTTTCGGTAACAACCAGAACTCAAATATCAAATTTCAAGAAATTCCATTAATTTGTTCTGTGGATATGGTGAAAAATGTAAAATTGGCCCGCAAACCAGTTCTCGAGCCCTGATCTTTCCAAAAAAGTTATATGTTCATTGCTTTAATATGAGGAATTCATATATTAAATTTCAATGAAATCGGTTGATTATTTCTCTTTATATACACAAAAGTGTATGTTTGGCCCGTAGTAAACGTCTAGTTGCTGATGCCTGATCTTTCCAAAAGTTAGGAATTTTTGCGTATGATCGAGCAAAGCTTATATATGAAATTTCAAGTAAATTGGTTGAATACTTTCTTCAAAATGGTGAAAAATGTAAAATCGGCCCGCAAATCCGTTTTCGAGCCCTGATCTTTCCAAAAAATTTATATGTTCATTGGTTTAATACGAGGAATTCATATATTAAATTTCAATGAAATCGGTTGATTATTTCTCTTTATATACACAAAAATGTATATTTGGCCCGTAGTAAACGTCTATTTGCCGACGCCTGATTTCTTCCAAAACATAGAAATTTTCGCGGACGGTCGAGCTGAGCTTATATATAAAAAATCGGTTGAATATTTTCTTCAAAATGTTCAAGAATGTAAAACAGGCCCGCTAAAAAGTGCAGTTCCCGAGGCCTGATATGTATATACCAAAAGTTCAATCTGTGCCATGGTGGAAATAAACTTACATATAAAATTTCATCAAAATCGGTTCAGCAGAACTTGAGATACACGCGTGCGCACATAGACCGACAGACCGACAAGTTGCTAAAAATAGTTTAATTATTCTTCCCTACTATGGAGAAGTAGGTTCCCACCGAAAACTCGATATGCAAAATTTGTTGCCATCACATAACCTACCTATTGTTTACACAATACAGTCGGTAAAAAGTACAGGTGATTTAACTGCGCTAGCCATAATGATTCAAATATTTTTGTGATATGTTTATGCACAAACTTAATTAGCAACATTTGTTTATGAACACAAATATAGGGCAGTTCTAGCTAATATATCGCGATATTCAGTGTTTATGAAAAGGTATATTTACGTGATATTGCAAAATGTATATTAAAAGATTTTGATATTGCAGGTTATTCTAAAGCGCAGTCAAAACTTAAAACAAAAGCAGAGCGAGTAGTGTAATAATTGAGACTGGTTTTTATACCCTGCACTTCGTATAGGGTATATTAACTTTGGTGTGGAGTTTGTAACTACTTGAAGGAGTCATCTGCGGTATGGACATATATATATATATTCTTGCTCAGCGTAAAATTCTGCGTCGATTTAGACGTGTCCGTCTGTCCGTCCGATCGCACGATAACTCAAAAACGAATAATGCAATCGACACCAAACTTTCACAAGTTTTTTCTTTTGTGCCAAGGACGAGTCCTATTGTTATTGGACTAATTCGGACAACGAGTTCGGGTAGCTGCCTTACAACTCAAAGAGTTTATTTTAAATATTTCAAAAACTAATAAAGCTATAAATTTAAAATTTTGTATACATATGTCCAATTATATTCTACACATGCTCTAAAAATTATAATGGGATAGCTGCACCGGTTCGGGTGGCTGCCATACTACTCCAAATTTTTTATATTCGGAAAAATAATAAAGTCAGATTCATGAAACTTGGCAGTCATGTGTCCAATTATAGGTCAAATATATTTCTGAAGTTTTGATGGAATTGCTTGACAGGTTCGGGTACTTGCCATACAACTCCAAAAGCTTATTTTAAATATGTGGAAAAATAATAAAGTCAGATTCATGAAACTTGGCAGTTGTGTGTCGAGTTATAGGTCAGATATATATCTGAAGTTTTGGTGGAATTGCTTGGCAGGTTCGAGTAGCTCCCATACATGTCTAAAAGCTTATTCTTAATATTTAGAAAAATAATAAAGTCAGATTCGTGAAACTCAGCTGTTGTGTCCGATTATAGATCAGATATATTTGTGAAGTTTTGATGAAATTGCTTGACAGGTTCAGGTACGTGCCATACAACTCCAAAAGCTAATTTTAAATATTTGGAAAAATTATAGTCAGATTCATGAAACTTGGCAGTCGGATGTCCAATTATAGGTCAGACACGTCCGAGAAGTTTCTATAGAATGATTTCACAGGTTCGAGTAATTGCTATACAATAACGGAAGGTGCAGGGTATAATTCAATCGGTTTATACCGAGTGAAACGTTTTTAGTTGTTTTTACACAATTCAGCGATTTCAAAAGCTTTTCGTTTTTATAAAACTGTATTTGACGGCTTTTCGTCACGGATAATTTTGTTGTTATTTTGTATTTGATGGTATCTCGAAAGCCATGGCTCAAATCAAATTAATTCCGAAGTTATAAGCATCTATTTAAATGCAGGAAAAGTCTGATCACTTTTTTTTTCAACAGGCTGTAGCTCGAAAACGCGTATATCTGAATCCCCCCCCCCCCCCCCGTGCGATGTTTTGCTAGAAATTGATCAAAGAATTATTTGCCACCTAATGAGAAACACCCTGTATATTATTTTAGAGGAAAAACTCCTAAAACGCTAAATTAAACAAAGAAATGCTTGTCATTAACGATTCTAATGTTAAAAGTTTTTTCAATAGGAATAGGTAATTAAATTTTTCTTGTAAATGATATGATCAGTTAACAGTGTGAGACTGAAGTAAAAATGTTGGAAAAACTATTGATAAATTTTAAAGTACATTTTTATCTTCCAACACAGCTTGTGATAAATGACAATTGAATGACACATTTTGTCTCAAGCACGAGTAAAATACAATAATTTTAACACAATCAGCTTTTCTTTATCTTTGTTGACACTGTAAAATAAATTTTTTTTTTTTACACTGATATATGTTAAAAATTCTGTAGCGCTTATGTATTAATGCTACAAAATTTAAAAAAAAATATGTAGATCAACATTTGGAAACTACAAACCTAACACTTTTTATTTTAGATCGTCGATCCTTGTCCCGGTATCGTCTGCATGAAATGGTTAAAATAAATCTACAATTACTCTCAAAGGAACAGTAACGTATACAGTATCGCACTATATTTTATGCAAATAATGTATTAATTTTTAAATTGTTTTGGATTGCGAAATTTATTAAGAAAAAACAAATTTTTACCTATGTTTACTACTTTTTCCGTGCTCGCGCCTTCTATCACTATTGTTACCCCCCATGCCGTCGTTTCTTTTCCGGTGTCTTATCTCTTTCAGTTCTGTCTCTATTTCTGTCTTCTTCAGCAGCTTCCCGTTCAAGATCCGACCAGTCTTTACCAGATTCTTCTTCAGAGCCAAGATCTGCAAATTTAATGCGATAATAATTGTAAATTTGGTTTATTTTATTATACAACACCTTCACTAACGTCACTATCATTTTCATCTTCGGAAACCTCGCTATATTCTGAATCATCATCAGATTCATCTTCATCTTCCAGATCTGATGGAGCATATTCGTCTTCTTCTTCTTCAGACAACGCATCTTCGTCTTCACTTCCAGATTCAGGATCCAAAAAAGTCCAACCGCCGTTTTCAAAAAAGCCTTCAGGATCATCAGTAATGGTTTTCATGATTTTAGTCCAATTTAAGGATTGTACGCCTTCTGAATAACGTATGTCACAAGAACTAAATAAACATAAGGCAAGAAAAAATTTGATTTGGCATTAATTTATTTAGCTCACTTACTTGAGCCATTCTTTAACATGATCTAACAAATTCATCGGAATTGCGTTTACCATAGCTACTTTTTTATGGTAATCTTTAAACACAAAAATCATATCAAAATTCCTCAAGTGGAAACTAACTCTTTCAAAATGTACTAATTCAACATCTTCTAATGTTATTACAAACGGCGGCCATTCAGTTAAATTAACTAAGCTACCCGAAGTTGGTTGCAACAATACAGTGCAGCGAAAAGGTGCCCCCGGAAATCCTAGTTCACGAAACGGAGTATCAAATTCAACTTGTTGTTTGGTCATTGTCTCCACTTTCTCGCAAAAGCTTTTGAAAGCTGTCTTTAATTTATGTCTCAGCTCACGTTCAGCTTGTTCAGCAGCCAAATCATCTCTGTCATGCATATGTTGATGTTTTCCTAAATCTGTAGTTATTTCACCAACTTCAGTATAGAATTGGACATCAACATGCTTCTTTTTCCCAAACATTATTGCATGTTTTAAATGAAAATGTAATAAAATGATCATTTCCCCGTCACATGGCTGAAAAAAAGCACTCTGAATGTTGTTGTATAGAATATCTACTTTGTCTCCCCTGACAGAAACGTAACGGAAACCATTTGTATGAGCTTCTAAACTTCCTGTCATTCGTTTTGTAACAATATTTGGACGTATGTATAAATCTTTAAGTTTAGGATTGCCTTTATTTTGAGACAATATTAGCGTGTCTTGTTTAACCAAATCCTCTTTTTCTCTTTCTTCTGCTTCACGCGTCTTAAAACGTTTTTGAACTTCTTTAATCAATCTGAAAGCGTTATTTAAATTAGAAGAAGGTGCCAATAATTCACCCGGTTCTTTTATGTTTGTACTGCGATATGTAATTTCTTTAACAAATGTTGCTTCGGGTTGTGGATATATCCCGCCTTCGTTTCGACCCATAGTTGCACCCGGATGAAAAAAATTTATACGTAAATAAGTGTAGTCACCTTTAAAAACAAAGAGTTAAGAAACTAAATCCAATATAAAATTAAATTAGAAACTTACCTTCCACTGACTGCGAAATGTTTTTGATGGTTGATATGTGAAATGGAACGGATACACCGAAAATAGGCATTATAACGGTTTCGTATTTTTTGTCCACATATAATTTAAGTTCTTTTACCTCATCTTCTCGAGGCATTTGGCTTATACTTTTATAGGAAACGGTGCTTTTCCTTACTTTCTCTGTTTCCTTCGCTCCACTTTGTTTAGCTAAACGTTCTTTAGCTTTTTCATTCAAAATTTGGGCCAATTCTTTCTGATGTTGCTTTCTCTTTTCTTCTGCACTATGTTCATTTCGTAATTTATTATCAAGAACAGCATTAGTACGTCTCGATCGGCCCAAAATTTCTTGCCCTTTTTTATCGTCGATTTCGTCTTTGTCTTCCTCTTCTTCATCGTCTTCATCTTCTTTTATAAAAATCCCTATATTTTTTATTTTTTTCTTGGCTGGAGTCAACACAACTGCAGGAGGCTCTTCATTTACCAGAACGGTGTCCCCAACGAATAAAGCATATGTTTTGCCCTCTTTATCTGATGATTCTTTATTAACTAGCCCGGAAAGTCCCAAATTTACATTAAACACCATTCCTTTTCGAATTTCTGCGGTACATTTAGGTCCAATAATAATTGAATTTTCTCTAAATTCAATTCCCATAACAAAACCAAAGGTTTTTGTTAAGTTATCCAGTAACTCAGGATTGTGTTGCTTCACATATCTTAATGCAATATCATATATCTGATTAAGTTTAATTCCAGGTTTTAGAGTTCTTAGTATCTCATCTTCTAAGGTTATCAAAAAATTGTAATTATTTTGTATTTCTTCAGTGGGATTTACTAAGAGAGTACGACTAATATTCGAACAGTAGGATTTATATCGTGCGCCTAATGAACATACGATTGATCCAAAATGTAAACTATTTTTATCACTCACAGCACTAAATTTCAGGTTGTAATTTCCTCCGGATTGTATAATTGGCGGATAGCACATATCTAATTGGGTACTATCTACCCCAGTGACATATTTTTTATCTGTTAAAGCACTTTCAACACCTTCAGCTAATTTAGAATGTTTCACTTTCTAGAAATAACATAAAAAATAAATATTTCTTACATAAACTCGTTTTACCTTATCCGAATCTATAATATCCATAATTTGATCTTTCAGATATTTAGAAAACAAATCAACGGAGGCTAACGCTGCTTTTCTCATTGTGTTGAGTTCTGTTTCATCTTTAGGAGCCATTACATATGCCACAGATGCACCAACGTCTATATTTTGAAAACTTTTTGATTTTAAAGACATCTTCCAAGCTTCACAAAAATCTCCTGGAAAACTGTCTTTTAAAAACACTCCAACAACTTTGCCTTTTTTTGATTTTTCCATTGCATCAATTAATTTTGCAAAGTTAGATTTATCCTTATCGTTCTAAAATACAGTGTTAAATTATTTAAGCTGATTTGATACTAATTTAAGTCTTCATTACCCTATCTCGAACCAATAACTTAATTGTCGGAAAACCTTCTTCCTTGATAACTTCAATTTGCTTAAGAAATTCAATTTTTTTCTTGCTTGCTAAAAAATATATAGAATTTTCTGTAAAAACGGATATTGTGTCTGCAAGCTCATAACCCAGTAGCCATGTCTATGAAATAAGTTTTATAAGTAATGTAATTATGCGTTATTATAATACCCTGAACCTGTAAAGCGGTTGATTTACTGTAAACAGTTTCATCATCTACACCCACAACTGACATAAGACTATCAATTTTCTTAAAGGCATCATCATGCTCGAAAGTTGGTTCCTACATCATCGTTGTACATGCATTATTAAATTTTAATTTATCTTTAAGCATACTTGCTTAACTGAAAAACTAATTTCTCACCTTCCATTCTGAATAAAGCCGTTTAACCCTACGCGCAAAAATTTCTTTATCCAAACTTATACTCGACATTATTAATTCTGGTTTTTGTCGACTTAAATCCCGAAAATGAGTTATGATGTACCTATATACACCTCACACACTACAAAAAAAGAGCTTAACTGGAATACATTCTTGAAAACAATAGAGAATGGTGTAAATGGCGCTAAAAAGAGCACAAATCGAAATTCTCATTATTGAAATTAAGGATAGGGAATATTCAATGTATCGAACATCGATGTAAATATTCATGCGAAATCAGGGATGGCACATGTAACATAAGCCATAGACATGTAAAAAGAAATCGTTTTTTTTTTGCAGATCTTTTGGCAGGTTCGATATGCGTTTTTTTTAAGTATTGAAGATTGATAAAAATCTGATGAAAGAGAAATATCGAAAGAAAATCGATTAAATATTCATCAATTTAATTAAAAAATATTTGCCATATTTGTTAGTGGGTTCTATTTTTTAGTAAAAAAAACTTAAGAGTATCAAAAAATTTCGTTTGGTGAATAACGTTTTTATGTTGGTACTACTAGTGTCTTTACAACTAACAATTCCCAATAATCAATTTTTTTTAAGAAATATTACGAATTTTTAGCTTCGTTCCTGTTTTTTTTTCTTTAAATGCTACTTATCGTCTCATAATTCTTATTATTTTTTCCTTTTTTTTACGTAAAAAAGAGTTTAATATTTTAAAAAATCTCAGGATATTATCTTTCATTAATTATATTCTCAACTGGACACAACAGTTACTTTCCATATCTTGAGTTAACTTACCCTATGAGGAAAAAAGCTGTTCACATAATGTCTTTATATTTAACAAGTCCCAATACTCAATTTTTTTTACGAAATATTACGCACATTTTGTATTTCCCAATAACGTAAGTTGAGTAGTGTCGGCTAACAAAAATGTGTCGGCTATATTAGTAAAAGTAATATAGGTTGATACATTTCAACAATTTAAATTATCTCATTTCGGTTTTTTATACGTTACTTATAAAATTGTTTCAAATAATTTCAGTTAGTTTTTAAGTTATTAAAAATAAATATGTATGTACCTACTTCCAATCAATTTTTTTTTAAATAATTATTTTAAAACTATTTCGAACATGTTATATTGAGTGCTTCAAAAATTTTGTTGTGCTCTTCTTTCATATTTTATTACCAGGTAAACAAGAGCAATCTATTTATAAAATGTCCCTGCATGTGTATGTATGACCTATCTTAATTCTAAACGGAAAAAATGTTACATAAAGAACAAAAATTTTAAAATACCTGTTATTTTACAGTCAGAATTTTTGAGTCATTTGGTAAAATACCATTTATTTCAAAAATAAAAAAATATTCAAATCCGGTTATAAAAATATATGATTGTTTTTTCCAAACATTTTAAATATTTTTTTTTCGTAGGTAATTGACATAAATGATAGTAAGTTTTCAATATTTTTTCAAATAAAAAAAGAGGATTGAAGACATTAGTTCACATAATGAAATGCTTTCGGTAATATCTTTATATCTAACAAGTCCCAATACTAAGAGAGAAACTTGAAAGCACGACCTTATTTTATATGGCTTTTTTTTAATTCGAAGTGGCTATTTTTTGAGAAGAAATATTAAAATAAATTCACACTTATTATAAAGCAGTTAAAATTTAGAAAATATATTTGAAAAATCAAAAAAATATATTAATATTTTCATTGATAATTATTTTAAAATTTAAAAAAAAAAGCGGAAAAACAACAAGCACATCCTTCGCCTTCAACGTTGTTATGTTACTGAAAGCATTTCATTATTTTTAAATGAACAGCTTTTTTTTCTCATAGGGTAAGTTAACTCAAGATATGGGAAGTAACTATAGTGTCAAGTTGAAAATATAATTAATGAAAGATAATTATTAGATATTGATGTGAATACATAACATTAAAGAAAAAATGTGAAGAGGGAATTAGAAAAAAATATCTAAAATACAATCAAATATTATTTTTCCAATACAAATTTTATATATATAACAGAAATAAAATATAGTGTCACCGTTTTTCGCAAATGTGCGATATGAATATGAATTAGTCATGCGTCGTTCACGAACGAATTAATCTTAAAGAACGAATCACTTCACTGAACTTAATTGATTAGTTCACTTCTTCAAAAATGAATCGTTCATCGTTCACTAAGAATTCCAATTTCCTTTTTTAGTTGTTAAAAAAAATACTGCATATATATTGGTAATTAATGCACATTTTATATTTTTCCTTATTTCTTTCTGTATTAATATTACACAATACAAATGAAATTGAATGATATACTAAATTCAAAACAAATAAAAACGAACGATATACTCCTATATGGAATATTGATAAAAGTAAATGAGTAGTAAAATAAATTAAATTATATACCTACAAAAGTGACCGAATCAGTTACTAATAAAAACACAAGAAAAGTAAAATTGAACGATATACAAAATCCAAAATAAATAAAAACGAATGATGAAACTCCTATATGGAATATTGATATCAGCCAACGAGAAGTAAAATTAATGAAATTCTATACACATACAAGTGACCGAATCAGTTGCTAATATAAATACAATGAAAGTAAATTGAACGATATACTAAATTCAATACAAATAAAAATGAACGAGAACTGATCAAATATAAATAAAATGCAATACAAATACAAATAAAATTGGCCGATTCACGTCCTACGTTCCTATTGTCTAATATAAATGCAATACAAATAAAAGTCTCCAAATTAAAAATCTACCTAAAAAGGAAAATTGAAAGATTCGACTAGTTAATCGAAATTGAAAGCTGAAGTATGTCTTATATTTATGCATAAAACATTTAAAAAGGAGTAATAATTATGATCGCTTTTTTATCTAAATATTTTAAATAAAAGAAAAAACTAAAAAAAAATAATAATTATAGGATAGCATTCTAACCCATTAACGTCAAATGGGTAAATTAAACAAAAATTTAGAAAAATTAGGATATCAAAATTTCAGTTTTTGACGAGGATTAAAAATAAAAATAATTACAATTATTTTTATTCTATAAATTTCTTATAAGAAATAATAAATTTAAACTTAAATGGTTTAAAATTTTTATTTCTTCAAATTTAAGAAATTATTTAAATTTAACTGTTCTATAATTTTTTAACAGTTTTTTAAGTAAAAGTTTTAAATTTTTCTCTACGTTTTAAACTTCTTGGTTTACATAAGTTGAGACATTTTTTGGTTCAAAACTTGTTACTAATTTACAAACGCATTACATATTCTTTTCTTTAAAATTTACCATAAATACGAAAAGCCATATATGATATTTATAACCAAAAAGCATGCAATTATATATACAGAAGAGAAGTGAACGAAATGAACGATTGAACGAGATTTTATAATCCGTCAATAAAAATAAGTTGTTCGTTCAGAACGAATCACTGAAATGAACGATATTGCCCATAACTAATATGAACATGATTTTGAATCGATTTCTGTTCGATCCATATTGTTTTATATGATTTTTTGACGGATCGATACTTTCGTTTTCGATTTGAATCGATCCGAAAAATCGATTTTTTAAGAAAAATTTACATCTCTAATCAGCCATGTATTTAATGAGTATTGAATTCAACCAGCGTTTCCACCTAGATACATTTTTGCTTTAAATTTAGCGTGATTACAAAGGTACTCAATCTGCTAAAATGCCGAAATTGGCTACATTTGAAAATTTTCCTGAAATATGCATACATTTCTTTCTCAAACACTATATAAATATTACAAACCTGTTAGTGTGATGGTAATATTAAATCGCGAAATTTAAATATAGAAAATTAAAACAAGAACGTACCAGAAATATTTTGGTGTCAACTAAGTGCGACAGAAAAGTAAAATCGTGCTGTCACCTCCACGTGTTGCACTCTGGTTACGATGGAGAGCAAAAAGGTGAATGAAACGTGAAACGACGGGAATTGGGACTGTGGTCATGTCTCATGCCAACTGTTCGTTCGTGAGCATTTCACCCCGATGTTTGAAGTCGGCTAACGACAGACGTCCCAATTCAAGGTGGAACAGCATACGCCGAGGACTGCGTGGCCAAGGGGGAGCTTGGTCGCTAGTATGCGGACTCCGGATACCAGGCGCCCTCCGGTTTAAATTAGCCTTCCCGTGGTACTGGGGATCTCTGCCACGGATGACCGTCTTTTCTCCCCAACTCGTGGGTTTTAAATGAAAGTAACCAAAACAAAAAAACAAAAACAACAACAACAACAACAAAAGCGAGCACTGGAGGACGCAGGGTCCCCAGCAACGGCTACTGTGCCATCCTCGGCGGCCGAGGGTCCAGGAGTGGAAATTGCCTGCGGTGTAGCGAACGTGGCTATCGTGCCGCCAGCTATACCTGTAGACTCTAGAGAGCAAACGACATCGGCGCCAATGACTACAGTGCCAAATAAAGAAAACGTGTGGTGCAGCGAAGAAGCGCTTTAAAAGGCTGTTGGACCTAGGAGTTAGCATAGGTGAAGCCAGGAAGCTTTGCTTGAACCCTAATAATTCAAAAAAAAGAAACAGATCTGACGGCTCACTGGAAAGGTAGCAAGCAGATCTGAAAGAGTCCAAGTTGGAGGTGAAGTCGGGGAGCAAAGGTGCCCAGGGTAGGACGAAATCCTCTGCACAGTACCAATACGGTTGGGGGCAATGGGTCACTCAATTTGGCAACCGACCAGAAAAAGTCAATAACAAGTGACAAAACAACTAGAACCAGCAACTCAGGGAAGGACCGGCGGGCCACTGAGGCTAACAGTGCCACAGTAAGGGCCAAGTGGGGATAGCCGAGTTATAAGGAAGTTGCAGGAAGCATCAGGATTGGGGTCCTTGGCAAGAGCTTCCCAGACGTCCTGCTTGAAAACAACTAGATACTCCTCATCCAAGAAGAAGTAATGGAGCGCATCTTTAAACAAACAGATCAACGCGTGAAGTCGCAATTTCTGGAAAGCACGTTCCGGATAGGCTGGCTTCTATTAGTCTACCAGGACCAAGGTACTGCAGACTGGCTCAAAACGGAGATCAAAAGCATAGCTCCCTGGGAGGGAGCAAAACTGAAGGCAGTAGAGGAGGAAGACATTACTAGGGCTAAGGTCTTTAGAGCTTTCCTCCCCTATACT